GGGGTACGGGGGGAGTGTGGGTGACAATAGGGTGGCACTGGGGATGATGTATAGGGCAGATATGGGGGGGTTGTGGAGCTGATGGAAGGAGTTAAAGGGGGCTGGGGGGAGGTATGGTGGGAGCAGATGGGGCTGGGGGGGAGCTGTGGGGCAGGTGGGGGTCATGTGGACGGCTCTAAGGGGATGGTGGGTGTTCGGTGGGTCTTGAGGTTGTCCTGACCCCACTGTTTTGTGCCCCCCACCCCAATGGATCCATCCCGCAGTGGATCCCCATCCCCACAATGGAGAACGGCCCCAAATTGGCGCAGCGCTTCCTGAGAGCACTGAATGACATTCAGGTAGGGGCTGGGGGGGGCATGGGGACAATTTGGGGAGGGGGGGTGGGGAGGGGATCTGGGGAGGTCCCTGGGGAGTCAGGGGACATTTCTCCCCCCCCCATAAGCTTTCTCCCTCCCTGCAGTACGGCCGCACTCCCAGCGACTGGGCCCAGCCGCTGTGACCCCCCCCCACCGCTGCCATGGGACACTCCAGGGGTATCTGCCCCCCTCCCCCCCCCGGTAATGCACCAAAAACTCCTTGGGGGGGGGGGGCAAATACCCCACCCTCAACAGAACCAAATACGGAGGAGGGGGGGCCGATGTACCCCTCCCAAATATAATGGGAGAGGGCACTATCTGCTTCCCCCCCCCCCAGCACACCAAATACCTGCCGGGGGAGAGGGTTGGGTTGGTAATGCCCCCCCAGCACTCCAAAATACTCCTAAGTGGGGACAGAAATTCCCCCCTCTCCCCACCCCCGCCCCCCCAACACTCCAAATACCCTCCTGTGGGGGGCGGGGGCAGAAATTCCCCCCTCAGCACTCCAAAATATCCCCTTAGGGGGGGCAACCTCCTCCACAAAAGCACTCCAGTTGCCCCCCCTCCCAAGGGGTAAATCCTCCCCTGTGCAATATTTTATTCCCCCCCACCCCCCCGTGACGTTATGGGGGTGGGGGGTGGCAAAATGGTAGTACCCCCCCCAGTGCCTTCATTGTGCCTCCCTCTCAGCACTGCCACCATCTCACTCCTGCAGGCAGAGTGATGATGGGGGGCCATTGTGAGGGGAGGGGGGGCACTCTGCAGCAATGCCTTAAGGAGAAAGACCCCCCCTCCAAAAAAAAAAAAAAACAAAAAAGTGAAAGGTCAATGGAGGGGGGAGGGAGCCTTAAAAATGAGGTCAAAGGTCACCTGAGGTCAGAAGAGGTCATTAATAAATGAAGTTGTGTAAAGCAATGGTTCAATTTATGGGGGAAATAATTAATTGGGTGAGGGGGGGAATGTTGATGGGGGGTGCACGTTGACTACCCACCCCCCCGCTCCATGGTCTGTTGTCAGCGGCCCTGGGATTGCATCAGCACTGAGGGGGGGGGGG